TGTATTGGGGAGCCCAGAGCTGGACGCAGTACTCCATGTGTGGTCTCACCAGCGCTGAGCAGGGGGCAGGATCACCTCCCTTGACCTGCTGGCGATACTTTGCCTAATGCAGCCCAGGGTACCATTTGCTGCCTTTGCAGCAAGGGCACATTGCTGGCTCGTGGTCAGCTTTGTGCCCACCAGGACCCCCAAAACATTGGTAGGTACCTGAAGCATTTGCACATCTGAATTAGCCTCTCCAACTAATCTTTTGTGTTGTTAATATATCTGAATGGCTCTAATTTCTAGAAAGATACGTCAGCTTTGTGTTTCAGTGAGATTTCACAAATTCCTCTGATTTTTTTTTTAATAACTAAAAATAGCCTTAATGTATAGGGTGTCTTCAGAATCCCTTAATGTGCACATTATTTCTGAGAGTTTAAATAACTGTTCCATTTGATCCCTTAATTCCACCAACATTTTGACTATTCTGTTGAGTGTTGTTGATCCAACATTTAACAGTTCACAAGTAGGCTTTATCCTTTATGGGCAATGCACAATAGCCCTTGATTTTCACTAAATGCAGATAATAGATGGCAAAAGAATATCTGGATTTACAAAGCCTTATAGGATGTTCAGGTCCTTTAGAATAGGAAACAAACTCCTCTTAATTTTATAAACCAGTTGTCCTTCTCCTTTCTCTGTTCTGCTGAGCATGTAGTTCTGCAGGCTGCAGATAGGGTCTTCGTGGGCCGCGGGTAGGGCACAGATCCCTTTCTTGGAGGTTGCTCTGTATTTGCTAACTAGCACGCTGCAAACAGCTTCTAGTAGCGAGCGAGGCAGAATTCGCTTCCCACCATTTTCCTCTTTAGTATTTTTATTCAGAATCTGTAGATACCTTGAATAAATTATAAATGGGCAGATCAGGAAGCTGAGAACTTTTGTTTTCTAATCTCAACATCTTTTTGAGAGAATGATATAATATACTAAAGGATTTTCCAGTGAAGATTGTCTTTATTATTTCACTTTCCATTTTGAAATTAACAGTTCAGTCTTGTTAATTTGCCTTCAGCTCTTGTTTTCTCTCACACTCTGAATAACTTGTTTCCTGAGTAAATACTATGCAAAGTTTTATTCTGCTTTCTACAGAATCGTAAATTTGCAACATCACAGGACCACGGTATTTTTAACTACATGATTTATA